TGTTCTGACTGTGTGCATCACTGAATTGACTTTTTTCTTTCCTTTAATAGACAGTTTGTCAGACAATGCAGCAGCTTTTAGCAAAAGAGCCAAGCATCTCCGGAGACAAATGTGGTGGCGAGACTGTAAGGTGAGCAAGAAGGGGAACAGATGYGGCTGGATTTGTGTAAGGGGGGTTACCTGCCAGCCCCTGGGAGGGCATTGAGAAGCTCTGCTTCCTAGCTGRAAAGATTCTGGGAGGCAAAGATCTCCTTTCAGGTTGAAGCATCTATGCCTGGCACCCTGTGTAATGTGCTTGTGTGCCCCTCTTGCAGATGAAGGYGATCATAGCGATGGTGGTGATTGTTCTTCTGCTCGTCATCATTGGTGAGTAGATCCAGATGATCCCATCCATGTCTGACATGGAAATATTTGTGCCACTCCATGCTGTGAGTGACACCATGGTGCTGTTGTCCCTGGAGGGGAGAGCACCTGAGCCACTACATGGGCTCCACTCTGCCTTTTGGCATCGTAAGGAGTGCCTGTAGAGCACTCTGTGCTCCTTTTCTGCAAGGCTTAAGGGTGCATGCAGAGGAGCAAGTCCTGCTGACTGCTGGCAGTGCCTTGCCAACCTTGTGTTGATCCAGGGTTGGCACTGACTGATCCTGAGCCTGGTGCGAGGTAATGGAAAAGTTTCAGGCTAGAGTAGTGTCTTCCAAAAGTATCTCTGTGTGTATCAGCCACCTTGCAATGAGCCTGCTTTAGACAAATGCTCTTCCTCAAAGTTGATTGCCTGCTTGATTTCCATCAAGTAGCTGTTGTAGTTTTGCAATCGGTCCCTTCCCCTGCCCTCTGCCTTTCCTGGAGCTCCCCAGAGCAGATGTCACTGCTTTTTGTACCAAACAGCTCCTAATGACCAGAGCATGTTTCTCCAGGCAGAAATTATTCATCCCTCTGCCTGCAGAATGACATACTCCAGGGATCCAGGCAGCCCAGCATGGAGTGCAGCTCTTCTGTGTCAGTGGGTCTGGAGGGTTTTCCTCCCACTGAAGTGTCCAGGGACAGCTCTGTAATTGTTTTTGTTCCTTCAGTGAAGCCCTYGTAGCCTGTTGTCCTTCTGACAGGCAGCCTGCAGTGAGAGAAGCAGAGCTGGCAGCAAGGTTGAGAGAGAGAGACTGATGGAAAATCCCATCTGGTTTAGTTTTGGGAAGCTGGAAGGAGATGAAGGTAGCAGGATATGTTGTCTAGTGTGTGTGCAGACAGCAGATTGCTTTWGTTTGAGGCTGGGAACACACTTTTGCTCACAGCTGCTGGGTGTTTGTCACTACAGAAATGGGGGGACTCCCTGGCAGGAATGGGTGTGTGGTGAGAGATTCTTTCTTTGTGTTTTCCAGTCCCCATAGTCCTGAAGTACCGTTCCTGACGGGGCAGCTGGAGGCTTCGGTGGAACTGCCTCTGGGATAACCAAACTGCTGTGTAATTTAAGTGAGATATCTGTATATAACTTTCAAGTTGTTTTTTCCTCCTGGGAGCAGGAGGTGGTGGCAAGCAGCCAGTTCTAACAGAGCATTTTGAGAAGTACCAAACAACCCTTTTCCAGTAGAGTACCTGTTCCTGCTGTCAAGATTTTTTTTTTAATAACACAAGATTCAGATCCCAAACTGCCTGTTTTGTGGAATTCTGGATCTCTGGTTTGGAGCTGGCTACTTGCCACTACAGTCTATCTGTATATATGGTTGAGTTGTAATATTAWTAATAATAATAATTATAATAATAATACGGTTTGAGCAGCTCTCTACTGCCTGCTGTAGAAGGCAGAGGGGTGACTCTGTCCTTGAATCAGAGAAAAAGAAGGGGATAAATGTCTGAAGAGAAATATACCAATATATTATAGGGAACTGATTCTTTTGTGGACAGCTGCAAAGGTGTTGTTTTTCTCTTGTTCAAAAAAAAAAAAAAAGAGAAGAGAAAAAAATGAAATTAGGTTTTACATTCCAGAAGACTTTCTGGTCCTGCCATGGGAATGCACAAGCTCAGTGTTTTCAGTATTGCTGCTTACAGCTGTGACTTAAGACATTCCAGTAAACCTATTTTTGACTGTACATGTGGAGTTTCTGCATGCCTTCATRAAGTTTTGGAGGACATTCAGGGCTCTCCACTGCTGGGAGACCCTGGGAATGGGCTGTTCCTGTGTTTTCTTGACAAGAAGTGTGTGTAAAGCCCAGCAAGTAGCCTGATTATATAAAGATATAGAAGAAGAGCAGTTCTCCTGACTCCAGTCCACAGTAAACAAGCCCACTTCATATTCAAAGMCTTTCTCCATGATGTGGTGGTTGTGTTGCCAGCCCATTTTTCCCTCTTGTGATCCAGTGGGGTGGGAATTATTCCCAGACACRGGTGTTGGGGTGTTCAGGGAGCTGTAGGGACCCCTSTGCTGGAATGAACAGGAACTGAACYYCTCTATCCATGGGTGGRACTGTGGGGTTTTGGCTGTTTTGAGCCTTGGTCCCAAGTGTTGGTGGCATTTCTGTCAGCCCTTTATTTTGGGACCCTTCTTTCCAGCTCTGAGCCTGGCACTTYAGCTGAGCCGAGCTCTTCTGGTTCTGTTTTTGGTCTTTTCTGAGGAAACAAACGTTGTCTTGCTTAGCACGTGTTTGAAATAACTGGAGAAGGGGAAATGGTGCCCCAGAGAAYTTCCAGTGCCATGTCCAAGCTTCCTCTTCTGCCCTTGCCCCCAGGACCTTGTGYAGTTTCCACCTGAGTGCTGCCCCTGCAGAGAAGGGGATTAAGAGTGAGCACAGCAGGCTGGAGGGTTGGATGTGATTACAAGCTCCCTTGCCCGGCTGGAATATAAATGGGGCGTTTCCCCCTCTGTAAGACCTGATCTCTCCAGGTGAGAATCAGAAAGCCAAGCTGTTTTTCCTCCTGAAGAATAAGCTGATTTTAACATCATACACTCAGTGGAAGGGACAAAAGTCATTCTGCCAGTGCCTTTGGCTTCTCTCTGCCTGCAAGGGATGACAGAGGTGGATGGAGAGGGACTGTCTGTCTCCAGGGGGGCTGCACATCTTGCTGAGCTGTTTGGTACCACGTCCTGCCAACTGGAAAGTGAGTTAATTGACTCTTGCTGCTGGAGAGCCTTGCCAGTCTCTGCCTTTCTCTCCCAGCCCAGTCTTGCCTTTTCTGCTGCCGCTGCCACCCACAGCAGGACCTTGGTGCCACAGGAATGCATGAGGACTTCAGATCCCTGCTGGCACTAGGTCTGAGCAAGAGAAGCAGTTTTGAAGCTGCTTGCTGGAGGCAAAGCCTGGCTTTAATGCTGGGCTCAGGGCTTTGGAAGGCGGGTGCTGGCAGGATGAAGTCTGGACCAAACCCACCCCAGGCAGCTCAGCACAGGCAGCAGGCTCTTGCCCTAGGAAAGCTGAAATTCCTCGACGTTGATGGAGGGATTTTTCAGCATTCCCAGGAGGTTGGGGTGCAAATGGTTGTATTCAGGATGCAGGGCAGGAAAAGCTGCCACAACCACAGCCATCAGTGCACTACCCTGAGTTGCCAGAATTGGGTGGTGATCAGTTTTAAGTTAGAGTCATTCAGTGCTGGGGCTGTCCTGAGCACAGACCTTCCCAAGGAACAGCTGTGGCTGTGAGAGGCACCATGAGCTGCAAACCAACAGTCCTGGTCAGAAACTTCACTGTAAAGGAATTTACTAAGCAACTTTTATAGATTCCACCCCSACCCTGCCCCCAGGCTGGAAAGACCATTAGAAATATCTGGTCTTGGGGTGGTACAGAGCAGGCCTCYATATTTATTCGTTTGATATTGTGGTTTTATACTGCAGCTGGTGCTGTCCCACCCTGGACTGGTGGCTGGGAGAACTGAAGTCAGCAGTAAGGGGTGTTGTTTTCAGCAGTGTCTGCATGCTTGGGGATTGGTTTTCACTTAGGAGATGTTATGAAGGAGATTCTACAACAAAAACAACTCCTTCACCCAAGCCTTGGGTCTGTTTTACCCATTCCCGCATTGTGCAGAAGACAGATTATCAGCTGCTGTTTTCCACACGATTTCTTKTGTACAGGGAATGGCATCTTCTGGCTATAGCAGTGCATTCCTCCTCYTGGGATTGCTGGTGTGAGCCTGTGGTGTGACCCCGGGGTCCCCATGCCTAAGGGAAGGGGGGGGGGTGCGACCTCTGGCAGCTGGGCAGTCCAGCAGGGAAAAAAAATCCCTCCCCTCCTGAGGAATCCCCTTGTAAAGCAGGGGCTTCTGTGAGGTCTGGGGGTAAGGTGGAGCCTGGGTACCACGGTAGGAGAGCTCCTGGGACCCTGCTGCTGTTCCTTCACAGTACCCTGCTTCCCACCAGCGCTGGGTTGCACTGACCTGTTCCTCCAGGGCTCCACACGGATGTAACTCTTGACTTAAGGCCTGGAGGTTTTGCTACAGCCACCAGCTGTAACGTCCAGCTTTTACGTGAGATACAGGGCAGGGAAAGCTGCCACAACCCAAGCAATCAGCGCACTGCCCTGAGGTGCTACAACTGGGTGTTGTTTGGGGTTTGAGACATTCAGTGCTGGGGTTGTCCTGAGCACAGACYTTYCCAAGGGACAGCTCTGGCTGTGAGAGGCACCAYSAGCWGCAAACCAACAACRATGGAACTTGATCKCTCCGACCTSATCCAGAAAGGGCAGAGACTCGCCAGAGGCCGGGGATGAACAGCTTGGAGCACAATCCGCTACTCCATTCCCCCAAACACATCTGATTCTACTTCAGGGGAAACAGAGCGGAATCCTCGGCTCCTTGGCTGCCAAACGGGGCTGTAAACAAGGGCCGGGGCCGTGAGGGGGCAGCTTGCCGTGACGACCGATCCGCGCCCTGCTCGCGCCTATCGCGAGACCGTCTGGCGCGGCTCCTGAGGGCCGGCAGTTCCCGCCTCTCTGGCGCACGCGGCCGCCCTACCCATTGGCTGGACCCTGCGGGGCGGGCACGCTTCCCATTGGCTGAGCGCTGCGGGGCGCGGCACCGCCGCGGGCGCTGATTGGCGGCTGGGCGCGCAGGAGCCGCGCGCGCTGTCAGCATGGCGGCGCCCGCCCGGCGGAGCGTCGTGTTCGTGACAGGCAACGCCAAGAAGCTGGAGGAGGTGAGGTGGCGGGACCGGGGCCTGGCGGGCGGGTTTGCCTCCCTTTTCATTCCCTTCTCCCTCCCTTTTCATTCCCTTCTCCCTCCCTTTTCATTCCCTTCTCCCTCCCTTTTCATTCCCTTCTCCCTGCGCAGGTCACGCAGATCCTCGGGGACTCCTCTCCCTACACGCTGGTGGCAAAGAAAATTGACCGTAAGTTGTTATCGGGGCTTGGGGGATGCGGCGGCTCGGCCCGTCCCGGTCTGCTCAGTACCGATCCCTGTGTCCGCAGTGCCGGAGTACCAGGGGGAGCCAGACGAGATCTCCGTGCAGAAGTGCCGTGAAGCCGCCCGGCAGGTCATTCACCCTCTCTGCTTTCCCAGCAGAGTTGGGTTGGGTTGGATGTGGGGGGACCCCAGACGGGACACTGAGGCATCCAAACCGRCTCCGAGGAAAGCCAGGGGCACATCTGGCTCGAGCTGGCCTCGCTGCACTCCCATCACCTGGCTGTTCCCGGTTTATGCCGGGTGACGCTGAATTCTCACCAATGGTACCAAGTTTTGGCAGTCCTGCTGCTGTGTCCCTCGAGCAACACGAGGTCATGGAGGCTCCTTCAGTCCAGCCCCAGTGGCTGCAGGGCACAGAGTTTTCTGTCGGCTGAACATTCCCGAGTTATCTCTGGAATGGGTATCCTARAAGAACCAAATGAGGGCTAAGACTTGAGAAAAATGCAGGCATGCCTMMAGGRTGCAGGCTTTCCCTTYCCTTGTCCTGCCAATCCTGTCCCTCAGGAGGGCAGGGAGTGTTCAGATTTGCTTTTTCCTCTGTGTGAAACCTTCCCTACTGTTGTTCAGCTTCTCTGGCCTGCCTGGAGACAGCCTGAGTTCGGTTGTGACTAGTGGGGCCTCTGAGGTCAAGATTGCACTTGATGTCAAGTGGAAACATGAGGATAGGATAGAGCAAGGGAATGGGTTTGGAGGCAGTGCCTTCCTTTAGCTCTAATTTCTTCTTCCTTCTCGTTGGCTTTCACTGTAGGTTCAGGGACCTGTTATAGTAGAGGACACCTGCTTGTGCTTCAATGCTCTGGGGGGCCTTCCAGGACCCTACATGTAAGTAGGAGGGGAATTGTTTCCCCTTTCATGTACTGGAGTTGGGAGCAATGGAATTATGGAATATCCTGAGTTGGAAGCGACCACAAGTATCATCAAGCCCAAATCCTGGCCTGGTCCAGAACAGCCTCTAGAATGCCACCATGTGCCTAAAAGTGTTGTCCAAACACTTCTTGAGCTCTGGCAGGCATGGGGCTGTGACCAAGTCAGCACTGCAACTTGGTGTAAAATGTGAACAATTTGTGYTGAGAGATGCATTTTGGCACATCAGTGCACAGGAGTGAGAACTGTGCTAATTACATGGACCCCAGTACTGTGGTAAATTAAATACCCCACTGCTATTTTCACTGGGTCAGTTTGTGAGAGATGTGTGTCCTTACTGGTAAATAGTTCAGAACAAGGTGACCTGACAGCACATTGAAGAGGGATTCAAAGGCCTATGGAAATACAGGCAACATTGTCTCAAGGATGCCTGTATTTCTGAGAGATAATAGCAAAAATTAATCTTCCTTCTTTCCTTCCTTTTCAGAAAATGGTTCCTGGAGAAACTCAAGCCAGAAGGTACTGCTCTCATGTTACTGCTCTGTGTGTAACCCACTCCTTTGCCCCTGAAGTGGCTCSCTGCCCATGCTGGGGGAACCAACAGGTTCCTCAAGCTTGTTCTGTGCTCCCCTTCCTAGAATTTTGTTTTTTCCAGTAGTGTCATCCCTGGATTCCCAGACTCCTGCTTCTGCAGACTGGTGGCAGGGCTTGTGGGAACTTCTTGTTTGTCCTCAGTGTGACCTGGAACACCTCTCGCTCCCTGTGGTTTCAGTGCAAGCCCTCTCCACTGCTGCTCCCTTCCCCTGGCATGCAGTGACTGCTTGATCTCACAGTTCAGAGTGTGACTGCAAATCCTGTGCTGATCTCATTAACCTGAGCATTAATCACATTCAGTCCCTGTGGGCTTTAGTTCTCCCTGACGTAGCAGAGTCGGTTGCTTCCTCTGCCAAATTCATAGCAGGGCTCTGCAGCTCACACTGTGAGATGAAATCTGAGTTTCTGGCTTCAGTCATAGCAGGGATCCTGGTGCCTGATCTCTGTCACCTCCTGTGGTGGTTGGGAATGCAATGCGGAATGCTCCCTCCATCCATGCCTCCTTAGGTGGGTGTGTTGTGCTCCCAGGGAGCAGCACTAACTCCAGGATCCCTTCTGTGTCCCTCAGGCCTGTACAAGCTGCTGGCTGGCTTTGAAGACAAGTCTGCGTACGCACTCTGCACCTTCGCCTTCAGCAGCGGCAACCCGGAGGAGCCAGTGAGGCTGTTCAAAGGCCAGACCCACGTAGGTGGTGTGTGCCTGGGGAAGGGAACGTGCTGAGGGAGGAGAGCTGTGATGTGAATTTTGTAACAGGATTGGCTGTGCTGAGGATAGTTTTGGTGGCCTCTGGGTCACTTGACTGCACTTGGATATTCTGTTGGGAACAGGCTTAGTGGGAGCACAGTGGGTGGCAGGTGCTGAGGGCACAGCCCTTTTCCTGGTGGTACTTGGTGAACTCTGAATGTTGCTTTGGTGTCTTCAGCTCCTCATCTTCCTCTGACAGGGCTCTATTCAAGTACAGTTGTTACCTCTGTTATTTGGAGAGGTCAAGGCACTGTCAGCATAGGRCAGCATGAGTTTGGAGCTGCTAATTATGGGGAGGTGCTGGGAAGCGGGACGGCACCATGCAGAGCCTGTGGTGGCTGCAGTGTGAGCTATGGCTGCGTGTCTCGGTCTCTCCTCAGTCTGTGTTTGAAATGTGACTGCAAGRAAAGTGCTGTGAAACCACAGCTTAGGGAGCTTTTTTGCTTTCTCGTGGCAGGGGCTGATAGTGGAGCCCAGAGGCCCTCGGGATTTTGGCTGGGATCCCTGCTTCCAGCCAGATGGCTACAACCAGACGTAAGTTGGTGTTTCACRTACAGCTTTTTATGTAAGCAAGCCATGGTCAAGGGTGTTAAGAGGAACTTGCTTACAAGGAAGAGCATCAGGGAGAAACACCTTCCTGGGTCAGAACGTGGTGGGTTTTGGGAATACCCCACATCAGGAGTTGTGTCAGGACAGGTGCCGCAGGGAGGCAACAGGGGAGCTGTCAGTGCTTGGGGGATGTGCTGTAGTGTCTCCTGCAGAGAATTGTGATTTCTCTCCCCTGCAGCTATGCCGAACTGCCCAAGGCAGTGAAGAACTCCATCTCACACCGGTACAAGGCACTGAGCGAGCTCTCCACCTTCTTTCTTCAGAACGACTCGACAGAGCCCCGTTCCGGCCCCAGCTAGCGCTCGGGCTATGGGCACCTCGTGTTCACACAGTCGCAGAATTATCAGGGTTGGAAARGACCTCKGGAGATCACTTAATCCAACCCCCYGGCCAAGGCCCGTGTTATCCATGTCACACACAGCCCCGGCAGAGCTTTGCTCCGCTGCGGGAGGTCATTAAAGCTGCTCCCTTGGAACCCACCGCTACCTCTTTCTCCGCTCTTTTTGTTGCTTCGGAAGTGCCGCAGAGCCCCWGCTGCACGCTCGTGCCTCAGGGGCGGCTCTGGGCCGGGCAGTCCCTGCCGCCCTATCTGCCTGAAGCCCTCGAGCAGACGGCCGGGTCCTTGTACGCTCCAGGGGACCGGGATCRGGATCGGGATCTCAGGCGGCACCGTCCGGGGGCGCGCCGGGGCCGCTGCGCGCTCCYGCTGCGCGCTCCCGCCGCGGTGGCGCTCGGAGCCGCTGGCCAATGGGGAGCGGCCGGGGGAGAGGCAGCCAATGAGCGGCGGGTGCGCTGSCCACGCGCGCGGCGCAGGCGGAAGCGGTCAGCGCGGCGCACACGTGGGGGCCGAGCCCGCCCGGCCATGGAGCTGCTGCCCCGCAGCCCCGGCGAGTTCGGCTCCGCCCGCTACTGGGAYCGCTTCTTCCGCCAGCGCGGGCAGCGGCCTTTCGAGTGGTACGGGGCTTTTCCGGAGCTCTGCCCCGTCCTGCACAAGTATGTGCGGCCCCGCGATAAGGTGAGCCCCGGCTGTCACCCAGCGCCGTGTGGGATGAGCCCCTTACGAGCTCCTCCTGCGTAGTGAGCTGTCGGGTTGTYTRGAGAAGAGGAGGTTCAGGGGTGACCYTRTCGCTCTCTACAACAACCTGAACGGAGGTTGTAGCTGGGCTGGGGGTGGATCTCTTCCCCCAGGCAACCAGCAGCAGGATGAGAAAACAGAGGCTTAAGCTACGCCAGGGAARGTTTARGTTGGACATTCGGAGGAAGAATTTTTTCACAGAAAGGATGCTTAGACATTGGCATTGTGCGGTGTCACCGTCCCTGGATATGTGTAAGGAAAGAATGGATGTGGCACTGAGTCCCATGGTCTGGTTGGCATGGTAGTGTTTGGTCATAGCTTGGACTCGATGTTCTCAGAGGTCTTCTCCAGTCTAATGCTGTGTGTGAGGTCTGTGCTATTCGCTGATGCAGATCATGTGAAAAGATGTGTGTGTCTTTAGCAAGAGGACAGGAGAGACCCCTGGGTTGCCTTGGTCTGGGGACCTCCAGGGGTTAAAACATCCAGGTCATCCCCAAAACACATGTAGCAGATCTGTCACTTCTGTGCCCATGGGACTTCTCTCTTTGGAGATGTTGTCTTAGGCCCCAGAGAGTCGGTTTGCAGGCACTGTGGGTGTGGTTTTCACAGCGGACTCCTAGGCATGTCTGGTATTTGCTCGTCAAATGCTCTTGGGGGGTGTTTCCAGGGCATTGTCACCATCACGCTGCTCTTGTGCCGCTCCCCAGGTCCTCGTGGTGGGCTGTGGAAACTCGGAGCTGAGCGAGCAGATGTAYGATGTGGGAATGTGCGAGGACATCRTCAACATCGACATCAGCGAGGCGGTGATCCGCCAGATGCAGGAGCGCAGCGGGAGCACGAGGCCAAAGATGAGCTACCTGCTGATGGACATGCTCCAGATGGACTTCCCTGATGCCCACTTCCAGGTGGTCCTGGACAAAGGCACACTGGATGCCCTCCTCACTGATGAAGAGGAGGCCACTCTAGCCAAGGTGGACCAGATGTTTGCTGAGATCAGCCGRGTCCTGCAGGTAGGAGGGCGCTACCTCTGCGTCTCCTTGGCTCAAGCCCACGTGCTGAAGAAAGCAGTGGAATATTTCTCCCGGGAAGGCTGGGTCGTGCGCGTCCATCAGGTGGCCAGCAGCGGGGACAAGCAGCAGTTTGTCCTACCGGTCTTTGTGTATGTCATGACAAAGTTCAGGAAGATCCCTGGCTCGGCTCCACAGATCCTGGAGATCTGTCCCGAGGAGCAGGACAAGCCGATGAGGRTGGAGAGCGCGGAGCGGCTGGTGGCAGCAGTGAAGGACAGGCAGCATTATGCCCTGCTCTGCAGCCAGATAAGCAAAACCCCCTGCAGGGAACAGGTTTCCTTGGATCTGTGTGACAAAGAGAGCGGGAAACCTCGCTACACGCTGCATGTGGTCGACAGCCCCTCAGTGAAATCTTCCCGGGACAATCATTTTGCCATCTTCATCAGTGAGTATGGGCTGTCCGGGCTGCAGCAAGGTGGTGCCCTGGCCAGGAGCTGCAAAACAGCCAGCCCTTCAGGCCCTGYTGAATTTGGGGTTGGAGAGGGAAATAACCCACCTGTGTTGGGTTCACTTGATGCTTTAGTCCTGGCTTTGTGGTGGGATATGTTTGCCTGGTGGTGCAAGCAGAGATCTTGCACAGAGCTTSTTGGCTTCATCTCACCGTGGAGGGACACTGCCTGCTATGCCTCCAAGGTGGAGTTTCCTGCCTTGATGCTGGTGACAGCCAGTTTAGCACATTGCAGCCAGAAAGGCATCACTGGTCTATGTGGGTGTCCTGGCTTGCAGGGGCAGACTGCTGGGGCTGCACGTGGCTTTTGTGCTTGTACCTCACAGAGAGGTGTTGACCTCGACCAGCAGGCCTGTTCCCACCTTGCATCCCTTCAAAGATGGGACCTAGCACAGCCTGGAGACAGGTCATGAACCTGTTGGACACCCCCTTCTAATGAGATGTGGCTTTTCCAGCCTCCTGTATCAGCTGGCCCAAAATAGGATGTCTGCCTGGTTGCAGGGCATGGCTCTAGTCAAGCAGTGGTACCTCCTTGAGATGACTTGCCACTCCCTGYGGCTCCTCCCTTGGAGGCTGGGGTGGTTACTCGAGGCTGATGGCAGCCCCTTCTGCAGTCCCACAGGGCAGAGAAACCGAGTGGCTYTTTGGGACGGAGGAAGGGCGGAGGCAGCTCGCGGCCAGCGCGGGCTTCGGGCGCCTGGTCACGGTGGCCCTGCACAGGGAGCAGCACTACGAGGGCATGGCCAGCATCCAGGCGGAGCTGTCGGGGAAGGTGATGGAGCTGGCCCCACCGGGCCTCCCTGTCCGGCAGCAGGTGAGCCCCTACCACCCGGCCCCCTGGTATGGCTTCCCAAAACCAGAGCCAGCCTGGCTTGGCTTCCCAAAACCAGGGCCATCCTGGCTCTCTGCCAGCCGGGAAACTCCTCTGTAAGGGGGACCAAGCTGCAAGGTGTAAGCTGGCTGCTTTGGGGGGCAGGTGATGGGCCTCAGGTGCAGCTCCTCTTGGTTTTCCCTTCAGCTTTGCCTTTGCTTGGAGGCAGGATTTGAGGTGCTTGTRTGGCAGGATACAGGATGAAGTCCTCACTCTCCAAAACCCAGCATCTCAAGAAAAGCAGAGATCCTGAAACCCTGAGAGCATCCAGCCCCTACTTAATCCTGGCTTTAACTTCTGTCTCCTCCTTCCTGCCCCARCTCCATACACCTGAGCTCTTGCAAAAAATCTTGTTGTGTTTGCTCCCGGTATTCCCTGTGTTAGGAGGGAAGTTAGTGCAGATCCCCAGTGCTCCTGTGGCATCCCACTGCTCTGTTGTGCTTCATCCTGGCTCTGTGGCTATAGTCAGGACAGTGGGAATGCCAAGCTCTCTTCCTGTAGCCTTTCCCCCTTCACAGCAGCCCCTGTCCTCCCTTCAGGTGCCYTTCCTGTCCGTGGGAGGGGACATCGGGGTGCGGACGGTGCGGCACAGTGCCACCAGCCCCCTGAGCGGGGAGTACGTCGTGGAGGACGTGAAGGGAGATGGCACCTGCTACTTCCGCCGCCTCATCTTCCTCYGCAACAGGAACGTGGTGCAGTCRGAGGCTCGGCTCCGGGCCCCTACACCCCTCCCAGGTACATGGGGCAGCCATGAAGGGGCTGATTTTTTGGGGTGACAGAGTGAGAGCAATCTAGAAGGAAGGTAGAAGTCCTTATAGGACCTGCCTGTCTTGTTCCAGAGCAGCTCTGAGAGTGTTTCACACCGTGGGTGGGGCAGGGCTGGGAGTGGTTACTCCCCAGAAAGCACCTCCATCTCCACCTTGCCTTACCAGCTGATGTCTCCCGTCACTCAGGCCAGAAGAAGCGGAGGAAGGACAAGAAGAAACCCAGCCCCGCTGAGCCACCTGGAGCCATCGACAAAAGCTACCTGTGCTGTGAGCACCACAAGGCCATGGTTGCGGGGCTCTGCCTGCTGGGGGGCCCCGACGCCCTCCCAGGTGACGAGGCTGGCAGTGGGAGGCTGTGCTGGGGGCAGGTGCACGTGTGTCCCCATGCCACAGCCCCTTGGGGAAAGGCTCTTCTGGCCAAGGTGCCCCATGTCCCCAGCAGTTTGGGGACGGTGGGTGGGATGAGCAGTGGGAGCGTGGTATCGTGGTGGCTCAGTGGGCGCTCTTGATTGGCAGGAAAGCTGGCCGTGCTGGTGGTGGGGCTCGGCGGGGGCAGCCTGCCCCTCTTTGTCCATGATTACTTCTCAGAGGCCCGTGTGGCCGTGGTGGAGATCGACCCCTCCATGCTGGAGGTGGCCACGCAGTGGTTCGGCTTCTCCCAAGGCCACCGGATGCAAGTGCACATCTCCGATGGCCTGGACTACGTGGGCAAGCTGGCAGCTGAAGGTACCATCTGAGAACATTCTGGGTGTCCCATCGAGCCCAGGGGGTGACACGCTGGGGGGCAGACACCTGGGCTGTTGTGACCCCTGGTTCCCTATTCCTGTGTCTCCTGCCATGTGTCACAGTCCCCAGCCTCAGCAGGTCTCTGCAGCTCACAGCCTGTCCTTGCCATGTGTGGGAACTGAGGATTTGCTGCCTCCTGCAGCACCAGGGCTTGAAAAGAGAAACCCCAGGAGAGAAGACACCCATAACATGGCAGAAGGGGTGTCCTCTCCATCCCATTTTTTGCCTTTCATGTGTGTGACTCACCTCTGTCCCATAGAATAACAACTTTCTGTGCTTCCTGCTGCAGCGCCAGCCCAGTACGATGCCGTCATGTTTGATGTGGACAGCAAAGACCTCACGGTGGGGATGAGCTGCCCACCCCCAGCCTTTGTGGAGAAGCCCTTCCTGCAGAAAGTKAAAACCATCCTCAAGCCAGAAGGTAGGAGGGGAAATCAGGCCATGTTTCCATGGCCAGGGTGATAGATTCTGTGTGGAGTTGGGGTTGTGCCACCTTTTCTCATCCTGGAGTGGCTGCAGCTGGGATTGCTGCATGGCATCCACTTCTCCTGGGGTGTTTCAGTGGGCATTGTGACAGCAGGATGGAGCTGGTGGCCTGCAAGGCTGCTGGGTCAGGCAGGCTGGGACACCCTGTGGGGACAGCAGRGTGTTCTGGAAGCACAAGATGTAGGCGGTGTCTGAGAACAGACCTTGTGGCCACCCCTCTGTGTGGCAGCAGGGACATGGAGCTGAGCCAGGGGCACTGAGGGAATGCTGGTACTCCTTGTGCTGCTCTGAGGGACACGTTTGCCCCAGGGTGGCACCGATCCAGCCGTGTTCCCGCAGGCTGTGCAGCTCCCTTCCCTCTCTCCCCCCTGCAGGAGTCTTCGTGCTCAACCTGGTGTGCCGCGACGCCCGGCTCAAGGAGTCCGTCCTGGCCACCCTCAGGGATGTTTTCCCGCTGCTCTACGCACGCCGCATCCAAGGGGAGGTTAACGAGATCCTGTTCTGCCAGCCCGGCCCCGAGGGCCGGTGTGACCCCGCAGAGCTGGGGGAKCGCGCCCGGGCGCTGGAGGGGGCCCTGCGGCAGCCAGGGCGGCCCTGGGACAGCTCCTACGTGCTGGCAGACATGCTGCAGGCCGTGCAGATCCTCTGAGGGGGCTCTGGTGCTGCTCCAACACAGTGGGCCCCTCCTCTGGGTGCTGTGGCCCCACAATCGGGGTGCCCGTGGCTGGGACTGCCGCCCTTCAGGGCCAATGCTGGCCTGGGCGTGCTGGAAGGATGGGATTGGCACGGGAAATGTGGCTCCCAAGGAAGGCAGCATTGAGCTGGTGCGGGGAGAGAGGTGCTGTGGGACTGGCAGGACTGTGGGTTTGGGTTTGTCCTCATTGCTTTCCCACTCTGGGAAAAACGGGAAGACATGCCTCAGACTCTGTTTCCACTTGAGCACAGCCTGTTCCCTCTGATGGTGCCTCTCCCTGCATCCCCAGCATTCCTGGTGTCTCTGCAGAGCCCCGGCCCCGCTCCAAGCCTGGTTGTGGGTGTGTGTGGGTAGGCTGTGAGCTGTGGGAATAAAGTGCTCAGGGGTGCTCTGAGATATGCAGTGCTTTGCTAAAGCTTGTTTTTGAAGCACCCACAGYCCTGAAAGAAGTCACCTCTGCACCTTGAGGGCAGGTCCTGGGAGCAGGCAGCTGYCCCTTGAATCCCACTGCCCCCTCAACGCACACCCTCCCCAGACTGGACCCCGCTTTTTCCTCTCTTCTGAGTCTTCCCAGCCATCCCCACAGAACTGAGACCTGCAACCCCTGAGATCCCAACCCTTCTCCCTCTGAGCCAGCAGTACCAGCCCTGGGCTCAGGTTCCTGGCCACACTCACCCAACTGGTGCAGGTCAGCCTTCCTGCRGGAGGAAAGGGCAGCCATAAATACCCACTGGGGAGTTCCCACAGCACCCCAATCCTGCCCAGACAGCTCATTTTGTCTCTCCCAAAGGTTTCAGAGCCTGGTCCCAACCCTGCAAGGTTGAGCTGAAGAGCTGACCTGTGTGTCCTGGCTGGTTACAGAGCAGGTGACCTGAAGGTGCTCRTTCATCAGGAGCTATTTTTGGGTGTCTTTGTCTTTTTCCCTGCAACAGCTGGTACCAGAATGAGTCTGAGATATGGTGCCAAAGTGACTGGCTTGGAGACAGCAAGGGGACAACCTGCTTAGTCACCATGATGCTTTGCCACTGACCCTGCAGTCTCACTCCATGCTCCCTCCTGCCGCTGGCAGCCTGGGTTGGGACATCTTTCTGGCAGCTGCTTCCCAAAGCAAACCCTCCCCAGCCCAAGGAGGTACCAACACACCAGAAATAGCTCCAGGAGGGATCTGTGTCTGGGCATCAGTGCTGGAGCCATGTCCCAGCTCTGCAGCTCACACTCCCTGTCCCATCAGCGTTTTGGGGTGCCCCTCGCTGGCCTCTCCTTGCTTGGAAGGACCCAGCTCTCCTCCAGCTGCGGGAAGTCCTCTGCCGCTTAGGAAGCAGAGTGAGGGGGAGGRTGAGCCTGTGTGTTTGCAATTCCCCAGCTCCACGGGGCTGTGGAAAAGAACACCCCAAAGGCTCTCACCCGCTGAGCGTGGGGATCATGGCCATTGCTCCAGTGCAGGAGATGGGGCTGTTTGTACCAGGATGAACTACAGCAGCTATGCTGCCAGCAAACACCTCCCTCTGAGCAGCACCTGGGGCTCTATTTTAATTTTAATTTGCCAGCAGGTTCTACTTTGGGAACTGCTCTGTTCAGATCCMTTCTCTGATGCTCCCTGCCTTATTCCCCTTCACACAGAGGGACAAATTGGTGCCCTACTTTCCCCCTGGGCTAACCTGTGTCTACACAGAGTTTAGCAGATGTTTTTTTTAATAAGTGCTTTTGATGGTTCCCAGGCCCAGGAGAGCAGGGCTGGCCTGCTCCCTGCCTCAGATAAAGGCTGGCAGCCTGGGTAGGTGCCCTTCCAGTGTGCTCTCCTCCTGTAGAGCATTCAGGACAGCACAGGGGAGGRATGAGGCTGGAGCTGGAGCAGGGTGGAAGTGTGCCTGCCCCCATGCAGTTGGTTTCTAAAGCTCCTCTGTGATGAGCACTGTTTTGAAAGATAWCTATTATCCGCCCAGCTTAGCGATGGCAAATTTCTCAACTGGATCAGCAGTGCTACATTTACTCTATTTTTAACTTAGTTTGCAATTCTCAACATAATTCCAATGACATAGGTTTGTGTRTGTGTGGGTGCCCTTTATTTTATTGAAACCGTCTCCTTTCTTCCCCAGGAACTCGCACAAAGGCTGCCTTCATCCCTCCCTTGTCCAGTCCTGCCTTTCTGTTGTGCTTCYAAAATGCTGCATAACGCCACATCCTGGTGGAAAAACAAAAGCCATCTATTAGAAACAATGTAAGGATCAAATGTTCATTGCAGCTGTTCTTGCAGCTACTGTTAGCCTGACAACTTTGGTCGGCAAATGAATTTCAGCTGGAAAACTGGCAAATTCATGAGTGCTGCAAATAACCAAAATCCTCCTCTGCAGGTAAAAGGCTCCAAGGCTGGAGCAATTGACACATAGTAAATATTTCTCYGCTGGCAGCCAAAACATGAAGCTAACGTATACGTTTGGCAACTGTGATTCTGTTGAGGGTTTTGGCAATATACTCATGTTTACATCCCTTACTCCTCACTTCCTTCCTTTGCAGCGTAGGCACGCTGTCAGTGGCAGGATAGAAACAAGCTCTGCTGTCACTTAGCAACCTCCACTGGCACAGAGATGTTGACTTTTTCCACTCTGGATTTCCCAGCATAAAGAGATGAGTGTGTAACTCATCACGTGGCTCAGGTGTGAGGCTTGTAGCCAGCTTCGGTCTGGTCCAGTCCTAGTCCTTGGAGCATCACATCCATGTCCAGCTGCCACACCACTAAATGAGACACTGGGGGTTGATGGGTCAGCCCTGGGTTTCCTGATTTGGGTGGAAGGATGCAGGGAGGTCATTTGGCCCAGGGTGGCTGTGGGCAGGCCGTTGGCAGGAAGGTGACACTGTGAGGGAGGCACTGATGGGTGCCATACATACACCCTGTACGGTGTCACAGCCCAGCTCCCTGCTCTGCAGAAGAGGAGAAAATGACACAGTTCCCTCTTAGGAGGAGGGTGGAGGTGGATAAGGGACATGCTGTCACCAGCTGAAAGTACATCAAGCACCTGGGAGAGATTTTGCAGTAATAAAAGCTGCAGGGACAGAGCACTGAGGCAGATTCCCTTCTGCTGGGGAGGCTGCTGCGGTCCAGACATGGCATGGGCCAGAGCTACAGCCACCTCCCAGAGGCTGGAAGCACACGGGAAGTGTTTTGTCCATGAAATATTCCCTTGGGGAAGCACTTGGCTTGCCTGACTCTGTGACCAAGGAAGCAGGCACGCTGCCAGGCTGCAGTGAGGGAGCRCAGCTCTTTCCTGGGGTGCTCAGGGCTGCAGGGAAACACCTCCTCAGGCTGCAATGCAGCACGGTGCCCTTTTTCTACCCTGCAACTGGATGCATTCGACTAAAGAATGCAGCTGGGCAGGAGAGAGGAGAGATGGGACAGAGATTGGGTTGTCACTGTCCTGCCATCAGTGAGTCAGCAGTGCCCCGGGCTGTGGGGGGAAGGCAGAAGGCACATCCTCTTTGCAGGGATAAATGCTGCAGCCACTATTCTGATCACAGCTCTGCAGCCACTCTGGCTTTCTTTCAYGGGCTTGAATTCCATCTTTTGCTGCTCCAAGGTCTGAGCTCTCCTCCTGGCAGATACACAGGCATAATGCTGACTGGCACCTTCGTGCCACTGCAGAGCCAAGAGAACCTGGGGGCTCCCCCTCGCACGGGCTCCTTGCCCACACTTCCTGCTCTGTGCCCATCAGCTGTCTGAAAAGCTCTGCAAATACTCTGGGTTTGTGTCTGAAGCAGAAGGAGGTGGGGAAGGTCCCTGGAGAGAAGAGCAGGTGTGAAAGAACCTGTCTCTTCTTAGGGGAGAGGATGCAGCCTCACCCATGCTCTGCTCCCCCTGGGGTCCAGACTGCTCTCCTGGCTGGGGAGTGTGACTGGTTTTTCACTGCAGGCATCTGCAATCTCCACTCGGGTAGTTTATATATAACTCATTTCTCATGAAGGGAATTGCATTGGTGTGTATGAAGCAGCCTGGGGAACTGATCCAAATGTCCTCAGTGTTAACATCACGCTGCCTGGTTAGGGAGAAGTGTCTGTGAGTTTGTGGGTTCACATGCTACAGCTGCACCCTGAAGCCAGGCTATTTTTGCCATATATTTTTCTGAAAGTCACAGCAAGACAAACTTGCTGTCTGTAGCCTTGATCTGAAATGCACTGGAGGATTTGACTGGGGGCCCGAGGCTGGCTGTGCTGGAACTGGTGACATGTGACATCAGACAATGCTTTTGGAGTTGGCATATCACCTTGGGGAGCAGGGCACCCTTCCTGCCATGCCAGGAAAGGTTCTTGGCAAAGGTTTTTTCTCCTTGCTGAGCCTGGCACATGGCAAACGGAAATGATAAATATTGTGGGGTGAAACTGAGTGCAGGGTGAAAYCAGATTGTGTTTAGGTGGTTAACCACTGAGCAGTGCAGCTTTGTGCTCCTGGGGATTGCATCTGGTGCTCCCCCAGAAAACAATTTCTTGCATGGTCCCCTGGCACTGATTCGGGTCTTGTATTTCAGGATTATTTGTTACAAGTAGTTTCTGCAACCATCTCTGGTTGTAGTACCCCTGTTTCCTTTAATTTAGCCACTCTGAATATTGGAAAATTCAGAAAGCCAGGCTGGGCTCTGCATGGGSGTTTGGAACAAGCTGCCCAGAGAAGTCAGTCAAGAAAAGGAGAGACCTGAAGATATGCTCAGGTGCCTTTTCTCTCTCCTTCTCTGCTCTCATGGAATTGTTGGAAAAACAAAGAAAAACCCTCATGATAACACAAGTATCCATAATAAATTGTTTGTGGTTTTTCTAGGTGGGAAAGCTGCTTGTCTTTGCTTGTACTTGGTACTTGGCTGCTTGTGGCTTTTTTTTTTCAGGGGGGTATGTGGATTTTTGTAAGTGATAGAGTTTCATGGTGAACGTGGGCATGTAATGGCTTCAACTCTTCTTTATCAGACCAAAAAGTTTGGTTTGGAAACCTCCCAGACTTGGGGCAATACCTCATATTTTTCCTAATCTTAGTTGTTTTCCTGATTTATTTTATTTCAATCATGGAAACAGACAAAGCTGTAATTTAAAGAGCTAACAGAAAGGACAGTTCCCTGGGTTATCAGTTTGAAGGTGTGCACAGTGCTGCTCCCCAGGCATCRTGCCTTTCTCAATCTTCATTTGTCTCCTGTGGAGATGCAATCCTGTGGCCAGGCTGCTCTTCTACGGACCTTAATTATTTCATGGGGGCAGCACAAAGTGCTCTGACACTCAGACGAGGCGATCCTMTCCTTCCCAACTTCCAGCCTCCATAGAAACCCACGAACTGGAGGAAGGCCAGGCTGCTACTCTTGTGCCTCCTGGCATAGCCTGCTYGTCCAGGAGAGGGGAAAGAAATAATCATGCTGCTAATTGGCATAATTATGTCAATAACTCCCAGGCTCCCAACTAGACAGAAATGATGGCAAGGCTTTTCCCAGAGGCTGTGATCTAACTGCAGCAGCGCAGAGAAGGCATCTCCCCATTATGCCGATTGAAAACTGTTACTCATTTCCAGAGTTAGAAGTCGGTCTGTTGTAGACAGTAATTTTTTACACTTATTGAGAGCTCTGGCCAAGRAGTTTTGATAATCCTCCAGATCGTTAGTCTCCGTCAGCCCGYGGGATGTTCACAGTTCCCTTTTGTTTTGCTTTTCACGCTGAGYGAGGCCAATGTCTGGTTTAATAGAGAGGATAACTTTTATCGCTGCAGGACTCCAAAGCCTGCGTTTTGGATATTTTCATGATGTGACTGCTGCCAGTAATCACAGATAAATCTCATCTCTGTTGCRTGCTTGAGCTTTTAGCTCAGCCTCAGTGTGCATTTTTAATTGAACCCGCTGCAGTGACAGGGCTTGGACCTCGATGTTGCTTCCCAGCCTGTTCCTGAGCCATCCACCTGCTGCCAGCCCTGCCGGAGCCGGCTCCTCTGGCTGCCCTGACACGGCTCCAGTGAATGTCTGACCCTGGCAGCACTGCTGCCTGTGGCTGAGCATTGCCACAGCCCTCTCGACCAGCAGGATGGGGCAGCCAGTTGGCATTGGGGCTCTCAGGGAAGAGGGGCAGCATGGTGGTCTCACGGTCTGGGCAAACCTCGTGTCCAAGTGTCCAAGCACCAAGGTCACCGTGTCCTTGGGCAGGAACAGAATCACAGAATGGGTCAGGTTGTAAGGGAGCACAGTGAGTCATCTGGTCCAACCTTTCTGCTCAAGCTCATCCTAGAGCACAGGCACAGGATTGTATCCAGACAGTTCTGGGATATCTCCAGTGAGGGAAACTCCACACCCTCTCWGGGCAATCTGTGAAAAAACAGTCCCTTAACAAGCAAGCTCTAAGTGATGTCCAGRTGCTAGAGAGACAAATTATTTGTTGGTAGAATTGCCTTGTTAAGGTTCARGGCTCAACGTGTTTCAGTTGTCTAAGACCTAAGGGGAGATTACCTAAGCTTGGCAAGAAGGGTGTACTACTGATAGAATGCAGAATTTAGGTGCCACGAGGACGTTTGGCAGAACCCCCAAGATAAGGAAGAAAATAACAGAAACAACTCAGTAACTCTTCTGAAAATAGCTCTGACTGGGTAAGAGGTAATTCTGGCAGGGGTAAATTGTGACTGCTAACTCACAGACCACCGACCCAAAAAAACACACTGAAGAGAAAGACTGAGAATATGGACAAATTAGCACTGGTAGCAAGAGGATCGTTAACTAATAGAAGATAGAATACWAATTAATAAGCGAACCAGATAACGTGTAGCCAATAAACACGAGTGCCTTTATTTGTTAAAATCCACAAAAAGGGAAAACTTTTGATAGCCGTTGTGCTGGCTTTGTGGATTTGCCACTCAATCCCCTTTCTGTGCAGAACTGTAAATAAATCAACCCCCTTGACTCTGTGTGTGGATTGCCCTCGGGCACACCGGGTGGAAGAGTCGATTTGGCGACAATCGTGGGACAATCGTGGGACAATCGTGGGACCCGTACCGGGACCCGCACGGGAGGGGGCGTGGCTTCTCAGCGAAGGCCCCGCCCCCAGAGCAGCGGAGGGAGGGGCGCATGCGCAGTGCGCCGCCCGTTACCTGTCAGCCGCGGCGGGCGGAGGAGGAGGAGGCGGCGGCGGCGGGATGGAGGGGCTCATCCCGCTCGTTAACCGGCTGCAGGATGCCTTCGCGGCGCTGGGCCAGAACTGYCTGCTCGACCTGCCGCAGATCGCMGTGGTGGGCGGGCAGAGCGCCGGCAAGAGCTCCGTGCTGGAGAACTGCGTCTCCAGGTGAGGGGCGGCGGGCACGGCACCCCCGCGCACCCCGCGCTGCCCCCACACCGCCCGGAGCGCGCGCTGTTCCCAACGGTCGCGGCGCGCGCCCCCCCTCACAGCGGCGGGTGGGGGGAGTGGGGGGGGCGGTGGCAGGCGGGGATGGACCAGGAGGGTTTTTTGGGGGAGCCCGACGGGGACAGTTCGGGGCTCTGAGCCCACCGTGGGTGCTCGGTCCCCACCGAGGATGCTCGGCGTCCCTCCCCCCGCGGTGCCTCGGGGGTGGCGAGGCGGGCCCTGGCCCGGCAGCGCCCGTGATGCGATGTGCGCGCTGCGAGGAAGCCGCCGCGGCTCCGGTGCGAACGCATTCGTGTTCCCGGTTCGTGTGTGCGGTGGGGGGTGACSGCCGCCAGAGGGGAACAAGGTGTTTAAAGCCCCGAACCCTAATTTCGGTGGGGTGCTGGCTTTGCGCTGTTCATTGCTCCCATCCTATCGCGTATAATTYGCATCGTCCCAGCGTGCCTGTGGGTATTCGAATCGCGGAGTCATTAAGGTTGRAAAAGACMTCCAAGATCGTCAASTCCAACATGCGCATCATTTCTAACAATTTACTGATAGGAAAAGGGGGAGCCTGACGATTCGGGTGGTGCTTTTTGACGGCCAGGCAATGCCTCTGGAGATGTCCCTAGGTAAACATGAGCTTCACGTGCTTTTTGATAAAGTTCCTGCTGCGTTTGCCGCAAATAGCTGCGGGCTCCCGGAGGGAGGTGGTGCTCCCGGAGCCGAGCTGCGAGCCTAGYCTGGATTATAGGGTCGAAATACTATTGTGTGTCCGTGACTGGGAGACTTTCATGTGTGGAGATCTTCACTGAAGGTGATACTAAATGCCGTGTCGCTCCACAACCTGGCCATATGTCAGGCTGCAATACCCAGTATAAAAATACTGTTCAGTAGTTCTTCATCTCTGCTTCAGAATAGACTGTGTTAAATATCAGTTCTTCCTCTTCTTTCTCCTTAAAGAGGACAGTACTGCCAATCTCTTGAGTTTGGAAAGCATAAATGTGATCCTCAGAAAGCATGCTGGGCCATCARATTATTACTGTTTTCTTTAAACAAGTCCTTAAAAAGTATTTTGGTAACCTTTTGACTTTCTGATCARTGTGTCTGCAAAGCTGCACTCAGCATATGTGCTGAGGGGAAAAAGCGTCTTCATTTTTCTTTTCAATGAGGATATTTTGGTCTCTGGGGTCGGGGCTGAGTGAGGTGGGCTGATGTCGGTCTCTGGATGCAGCTGTGGAAGATCATACTTACTGCTCCCAGATGCTTGTTACTGCTCGGCTGCCAGAGGGATCTGCTCCTTCTGATCCGCAGGTGGAGCTGTTCTTTTGAGCCATCTGGATGTGCCTGGCTGGAGCAAAAGGTGAAMATGAGAAGTTTGTGCTGATCTGGCCTCTTCGGACAGGAGGCTGGAACCAGCTGCGTGAGTGAGACGTGGGCACTTCTAGAAAGAATTATGAAGGAGAGCTAAGGGCAATAACTTTCCACTCATGTAGCTCTTCACTGTACAGCCTGCAGATTCTGCAACAGAGTCTCTTCAGAGAAAAGATTACAGACTACTGAGAAACACCACCATGTCTCTGTCACATGGGATTCGGAATTTGGTTTCTTTTACTCCTGTTTCAGAGTTCCACGCTGTTGTTTTGTGCAGTAACTTCTTGAAATTCAGCGTGAGCTGAATCTCCCTATTTTGCAACCGTGGAGCCTGTAGTGAAAATGGCATTAAAATGCAGTGCTTCAAACCTATTCCACAAGACTTAGGCAACGATGTTTTACTTGTGCCTTTCCTYCAGACCGAGTGAGTATGTGTGGTCAGCAGATGTGCCCTTGCTAAGCTGTGAGAACTTGGTTGTGAACCCTCAGAACCAGATTAATAAATATCCATGAGATTGGAAGAGGATTTTGCTTGTCAGATCAGCAGGCAAATGGTCTGTATCTCTTTTTAGTAAGCCATAGGATATTCTTGTTTTTATGGGATAATGCAGCTGCTCTCTGCAAACAAGTTTATTTCATCCACATCTGTCTTAATATGGCTTGCAGAGGTAGCAAGTCTCCCTGCAGAGCCATACTGCGCTCCTTTCTCTTTGTTACTGGYACATTGCATGACCTCTGATTAACTGCAGGGCTAACTTTAACTAATAGTAACACAGCTTTGAAATTAACATCAAAATAAAGTAGTCYTTCCATTGCTCTGAAGCTTGAGCATTAACTCTCATGTTTTTTTTTTTTTAGTGTGGGTTTTTTTGTGTAGGTTTTCAGGGGTTTTTACCACATGAAACGTTACCATTAGTAGATTTTGAACTCTTAGCCTCCAGAGAGACGTTCAAGATCTCTTCAGGAATAGGTATAATTGGTATGAGTATGATATCCTCCATGTGAATGGCAGAGTCTTGCTACACACATGCTGCTGGTTGTTAACCTCAGTATTTGTCAGTGGAACTTTGGTAAGGTTGGTAAAGTGTTTCTTAACTCTAGGATCAGGTTGTTATTCTGTGCTGTCTGTAGCCATTGTACCATTTTGCCTGTTTCAGTCTTCCACAGTGTCTTTGGTTGCACAAAGATTATTTTTTTTTCCCACTTGGACATGGAAATTCTTTTCTGACTTGAAGGTGGTATCAAGAGTTGGAGCTTTATGGGTCCTAGGAAACATGCTGGACTATGCAGTATTGTGCACCATCTAATTTATGCACTGCCATAATTTTTCAGAAGGGTTGTGAGGGATCTGACTCTGGCACAGTCCTGTGGGCTGGCAGATGGCCTGGAAATGGGAGCCAGATCCTGTTCTCTCTGAAGCTGYTAAGTGACATGTATCCATCACTGCCTCCAGGGTAGCACCAAGGCTYGTTTAGGTGCACACAGCATCCTTAATGATTTAGTGACTTAACAACAGGCAGGGAATATATTTGGATTAGTTTACATGTGCTTTGCATTGATGRTGGTGTTGTATGAGGATTCTGCATGTTTGCCTGGTTCAAGGATTGTGTAACAACCAGAACTACTGGTCTCGTTGCAAGCTGGCTTTGAACTGAGCTGGAATGAGGCAGTGTCAAACCTCCCAATGTGTCCRTTATTGTTGCTATTTGGATTAGCATCCCTGAGGAATTTGGAGAGTTTCCTCTTTACGTGCTACTCCTCTGTGTGTAAGGAGACAGTTTCTTTTGGTAGTCAAGGACTGTGTGTGAAGGTTTTTCTCTCAGGATTCTGGTTATATTTAGATGGAAACAGAAATTCCGGAGAGCACCTGAGGACAGCAGTCATTTCCATTTAWGGGTTAGACCTTCATGTGTTCATARCTGGAGCTCATGGTGTGTGTTTGAGGAAATGAAATTGTCTGRAGAGCAAATGTTCATCCTACCTCCTTCTGCTTCTTTGTGTAACAGGAGTAAATGTGCCCATAAAATGTGCAGTGTTTGGAGCAAAGGATCTAATGCAATATTGTTGGTAGAGGTTGGTGGGAAAGCGATTCAAAAGCAGAAAGGAGAATCAAACAACAAATACCAGCAGATTGCCAGTGGGAGAAGGCACTTGGCCTGTTCTTACTCCAGTGCTGCAGAGCAGTACAGGGCTATGAGCTCATGTGTTTCGTTTTTTTTAAACTCGCTTTTGATAATAGTAGGCTGACTTAAAAGTCAGCTAATGGCAGAAAGGAAACCCTGTAAAGTGTACTTGGAGAGAAAGCACTTTCTATTATTTTGTACATAACCAACTGAAGGCACAGACAGCAAGCTACCTTGTCAGGGCCTTCTTCTTCAGAAATCRGAACCTTGTTTTATTCTTAAAAATAGCAAGAAATTAATAATTAGATTTCCAACTTGAAAGCTCTCCACTTCCCTTCCTGCTTAATGTAATATAAACTGCATGTGGCCAAATAATTATTTTGTAAGGGATGTGAACTCTTGATTGTAAGCCTGTCAGTCATAATCAAACAGGCACTTTCATTTTAAGAGCCTGAGGTCTGATTGTGTAATTCAGCTTTGCAGCTTTTTGATCTGAGATGCTTTTGATAATCTTAGGGCCATTGTATATAGTRGTAGATATTTATTATGACATATGTACCGATTATTTCTTTTTGAAATTACTATTCCWTGTGTGCTCAGCTCATTCTTTTCTGCTTGAGATGGCGGTTGTGAAAAGACTGCATTGAGTCATTAGGAGAAGGGAAGGGACTTTAACTCTGGCTGCTAGAGCAGAAAATTTCTCCCAAGAATGTAGACACATATTTAGATTGATGCTTCCTGGGGGAGATGTGTTAGGATTGGTGCAGGTATTTTATTCTTTTAGTTACTAGGCATTGACACAAGAACTTTTTTTACAGAAAATCCTTCTCTTTTGTGAAACATGAAAAAGCTAAGCAGTCAAACYGAATACAAACTGAAATGTGGTGCTGTGTTTTCTTTTTTAATCTTAAGGATCTTCTGGAAATGTGAATCAGCCACTCCTTTTCCTGACTAATTAAGCCATTGTACAGCTTTGAGTACAATATTGAGTGTATTAGCCTAGTTATCAAAATGCTCTGGTGCAACGAAAGCAAGAATTTTCYGAGTATTTCATTAATTAGAAACAGCAGCAAAGGAGACAGTGACTCATTTGGGTTTCTTCCCTGAATAAGTTTTCACATTTACACGTTGAAGAACAAGCTGGCCGTTTAGGTGGGACACAGATGGCCTAATTTTGTCCTTAAATGTAACTTCATTGCGGACTTAAAGTTCATTTTTCCCCCCCAAGTCTTGAAAATTGATATATACTAAGTAAGGGAAATGTGTGAAAAACAGACAAGCAAACAAATATGCTGATTCTCTACCCATGTAAAGTTATTTTTTCCTCTAAAAGTACTTTTAGGATTTGTCTCTCTTATTTTTGGCATTTAAATTTTGCCAATTAGGATATTTCTTCTATTATAAGAAAATCTGTATGCTATCATGAGGCAGGCATAGTGTAGGGAGCAGTGCCCTGTCTTCTGG